TCAAGGGCAATGGAGGCTGAAAAGGTAAGGGAATTGGGGGACTTAAGGTCCTTAAATAGGGTGAAAACCCTAAAAACTTGGGTTTGTCTCAGGAACACATATGTCATGCGTACTCCACGTACGCCCAGCGTACGTGGTTAAGATCCGCGACCATATCAATGGCTAGTACGCTAAGTGTACTTAATGAGTACGCCCCGCATACTAACCAACGGACCAAATAGAAAGAAATTCTTACATTAGGGACCTAAAGGGAAACTTACCAAACTCGGACGTTACACCTATATGGGATAGCCAATCTCAAGGTGGAAACTAGGTCTTTATAAAGGAAGTGCAATTCAACACAGTCAAAGGTATGCACACTGAATGTTAGCTTTTGAAATTAACATGTTGAAGGCTAAGGTGTTGGATCTTGCCGAAAAATATCAAAATGTGGAATTCACAGTGCATACTGCTCATTCATACAAGGCTATGCAAACAATTCAAAAAAGGTTAAAAGATTATTGATGATTGTTTGTGATAAAGTGTGACTGTTTATGGGTTGCTTTTGGAGGACATGTAAGATGGTTTGTGAAACAAGTTCGTGAACAAGTTTTAGATGGTTTATTAAGTGTTTTTCAACAACGTTTAAATAGTTTGTGAAATGCTTCTGAATAGGTTTTATTATTTTATGTTGAATGATTATGTAATAGAAACAAGTTTGCTTATTTCTGTTAGCTTTTTATATTCATATATTTTCAAAGTTTATTATAATGACGTATTCATTTATGATTAAGTTTGGAGTAATATTTGATTTAACAAAGTTCACATATTAATATAACTTATTTATTAGTAAATTAATAAACAAATATCATTATAACTTCTATATTCAAATACGTATTCATTTATGATTATTATAATATATTTATTTATAACTAACATGTACTTCACATATGAATTTTCTATATCAATATAAATGTCTTAAGTAGTAGCTTCTGATAAATTCATAATGACACAAGAATACTGCATTATTCAAAAATGAATATAACTCTATCAAAACACATATGAATATACCCGTCTTTACTATTCCCTTACTAAGTAATCGTTTATGATTATTATATGTATTTATTCATAAATGAATAGAACGAAATAACACAAAAAATGAAGTATAACTGAATAAAAAACCTAGATGTCTTTTGTTGATTGAGCAACTGCAATTCTTACTAGACATGTACGTAAATTGTGAGGAACTCGTTCTCCACATCCTGAGCACATTCTTTGTTATTTTTTAGAATTAAATATGTTGTTTCACCGACACTTGGAATTCTTTTCTTGGTTCCAGAACCTTTATTTCTTTGAACTTGGGGAACATGAATATTAATCTCTTCTAGAATAGAAATAGAAACACCCATAAGCTTACATACAACTTGATTATCTGTCTTGCTTTTCAATCCACCAGATGTACAATCAATGATGCTTGCAAATAGCTACACCTAATTTTATATTTATAACCTAACTAACTTAACTAACTATATTGCACGTAGGCAGTGTACCTAGTCAAATTATAGAATAATCGGGCAAGTCGGGTGTCGATCACAAGGAACGGTTTTGACTAATTAACCTATTTACTACTAAATTAACCTAATTACTAACAAAGGAATGAGATTTATCTAATTTTGCAAGTTTAGATGAACTTAATTCTTTAACACAAATTCAATCAATAAACAAAACACTTCTGTTAGTTTGAATCTACTTTCCCTCAATGGTTTAGAATTTAGCTATGACAAGTACTGTTGGTTACCAATTAAGATAGTATTAGCAATTTAGTTCTAAATCTACTAATATTAATTAATTCATGTAAATCAAAGTATGTTCACAATTAAGTTAACACAGAATCAATTATTTTATGAATTGGAGCTATGTAAGATTGATTAACAAAACACAATTACGGTCATAATATGAGTTCTCTAGCACAGCCTAATTTAATACTTAACTGCTTAAATAAGAATGGTGATCCTAGCTCTAATAATTTAATGTTCACTAAATTACCAGGTATTCTAATTCATGCAGATTAATAATTACTAACTACACAGAACAAGAATTAAAAGCAATTAAATACTAAATCAAACATGCTAGGTAAAACCAATCAACACAAGTCATAACCAACAAGTACATCAAATCTGAAATATTAAATCCATGAGTTCCAGCTTCATCTAGCTAACAGAAGCAGCTAGATTTAGTTGGACATCCTAGCAAACAAGTTAACAAAAATCATATTCAAAAATATATTTAAAGTGTACTAAAACTAGAATCCAATTATGAACTTCTCTTCTCCTTTGGTGTTGAAATCCTATTCCAGACCTTCTCCTCTTCTGAAAATCGTCTCCGGGAACTTCTTCAAGCCGCCAAAAAGTCCTTTAAATCGTAATGAGCAAGAGTATATATAGTTTCTGATTTTTTCCATTCTCACGTCGTGAATAGATATGGCTCATGACGTGAATAATAGATTTCCATGTTGGCTAAGGACTTTTCTTCGCTATGTCTATCTTCTGGAAGATTCGTGTTCACGTTGTGAATCTATAAGCCTCACGACATGAATTCAGCAGATTATGTAAGCTTCTTCATCTTTTAATCTCCAAGCCTCCAAAGTTCCGTGTTTTGTCATTTTTAGTCCCTTTCTCCAAAAATGCTTCTATTTGGCTGCAAAGAACAATTTATCCTCATAAGTACCATTATTCAATGCAATTAACCAAAATATTAATAAAAATATAAGTAAATATTGCCTAAAAACATGTATAAATATGACAATATCAAAATACCCCACACTTATTCTTTGCTTGCCCTCAAGCAAATCTAATTATTTTTAATTCAAACCTTCATCACCAACATCACATAGAACAATTGTAAACATGTCTTTAAACCATCAAGAATCATGTTTTGTAAATCTAATTATTTTTAATTCAAATACCCCACACTTATTCTTTGTATTCAAGAATCACGTTTTGTAAACATGTCTTTAAACCATCTTGTGTATTCAAGATTGAATTGTTTCATAAGCAAACCCCACTTCACCTCAAAGACATCAGGTTTCATATTCATGTCCCAAACAAGCTTCAAAAATCTTTTTCTAAAGTATGTGTTCGTAAATAAGTCATCTGATATATATATTAAAACAAAAATAAAATAAACTTCTATATTTATTCATAAATGAATAAATACTAATAAGTAAAATAATAATAAATATTCATAAATGAATATACCAATATTTGAAAAAATTACTATATTCAGCTATGAATAACTAATACTATGTAACATATTTGAAATATATTAAAATAATACCTTGTTTTTCAACTTCTTCATTATATATCACATACATAATCAGTGCTTTGAATTAGGAAACACATTCTCAATAGCTTATTTTATTGTCGCATCTTGATTGGTTAAAACTAGTGTTGATTCAGTGATTCTTTCCTATGAGTTTTAAGAAACACTTTAAGGAACCAAGAGTAGGACTCAATGCTTTCATTGCTTAGCAACCTCGCTCCAACATTAATTGATTTTTTATGGTGATCAATAGCAGTAAATGGAACAAAAACCATTCGATACTTATAACACAAACAAAAATGTTCATTAAAGTAAATTTTTGATGTATTCATAAGTGAATATAAAAAAAATTCATGTATGAATAGAATTACAAAATATAATATTATAATAATAATAATAATAATAATAATAATAATAATAATAATAATAAAACATGAATATATAATTATATTAAAATAATTTCAATATTCACAACTAAATATTAAACATAAAGTTAAAATATTCATATATGAATAATCTATAAAAAAAACTAGACAAAATAACATACTTGTTTGTTTGGAAAGTCGCATCAAACGAGATAACATCACAAAATTCAGCTTAATATGCCTTTTCCATTTCATCAGCCCAAAACATAGAGTCCAAAACATCATCTTGGCAATTAAACTCAAATGAGTAATTTGGATAGTGAGCTCGACGGTCATTCATTGTGTTTACTACCAACTAGACATCTTTATAACTTATAACCCTGTTGTTATCTCTCCTTAAATTTGTATAGTCAGCTACTTTGGGCTTTACAAACTCATCCCCACCTCTCAAACTTGTCATCAACTTATGAGCCATAGTTGGGCCTATTTTTGATGTGGAAACATGCACTATAAACGTTTTTTCTAAATATGACATTTGCCTCACTTTTTTTTAAATCACTTCTCTTCTCAAGTGGATGGTTGTGAAATTCATCAAACTGAAAAACTTTATAATCCGGAGTTCCATACACAGATTCAAATATAATATTTGCTTGACAACCAATAACTCTTGTTTGAATTTGAATGTCGTTTCCTCCTAACACCACTTGTACCCCATGTGCCACAATATTTTTTTTCTATTTGCCACCACAATTGCATATATGATGTTTCTTCTTTATAATCTTGGAATCGTAATTAGTTATAGTATATTTAAGTTGCAAAGCTAAAAGTTTTGTCCGAAGTTTATAATTTTGTTTTAAATTACAAACTAAATTATAATTTTACATATATTTTTAATTCTAAGATGACTTGTTATCATGAGTTCATGTGTCTTACCCACTTTCCTCATAAGCTTCTTCATGATTTTAATCTCCTATCATTAGTTATAATATGTTTAAGTAACTGATATACCCTTTGTTCTTTTTTTTATTATTATTGTTGTATCATTCATTGTCTCGCTAACTACTATTGTTTGTCATTATGTAAGTAATTATTGATACAAAAGTTTATCATATTTTTATTTTAATTGATAAAAATAATATATTATATGTAAAAAACAAATAAATTAAAAATGTGTAATGAAACTTTTTTGGTGAGAAATAATATACATTCTATGTGTTTAAGTTTGATTTAAAAGTGAGATAACTTAATGAAATTTATTTATAGAATAGAAACCTAAAAATATTTGGAACAAAGAAATTACAATAAGGCTTCATTTTCTTATAATAAACTAATGTATCTAATCCCAAAAGTAGGTCCTCAATAAAATATAAACAATAACAATCTACTTTGATTTAACACCGTTTAAAGAAACAAAAACAATAGCATCCTAGTTTATGTTTGTCATGTATGCCTTAAGCAACATATCATGTATAGATAGTCCTCTATTGGTTATCTTTGTCGTTTCCTCCTAACACCACTTGTTCAGACTTGATGTTATTTGAAAATACCAAATTGCCCCTAAATTCTTCATTATTGTTACCTAAAGTTATAAAAAATTATAAAAATGAAAATTTTAAACTAAATTACAAAAATAAAACCACATTAAACAATAACTCGAAGATTAATTAAGAAAGATTAAGAAAAGTAAATTGGCTAAGACCTCGATAAAGGAGACAAAACAACCTGATCAAATATGCAATTTAACATATTAGGCATATGCAAATAGAGAAACATCTGCAACTTGAAGAGGATAAGCAACTATTTGCAATCCCAAGATCTGGGCTCTTCCAAGTTTGACAAAAATGGTTACCCTATCATGTCAATATTGTTTCCCTTTATATATTTTATTCCAAATTCAACTTTTCTGGAACATAAAACAACCAAATATTAGCAAGATTGTGTAAGAAAATTGTACATCATGTAATATTCAGATTTTGCTTAATTTCAAGTCATATAAATTATAACTAATCAACACAAAAACATGTATGCACCTTTTTATAAAACTCTTTTATGTTGTCTGCTTCATGTCATGACTTTTTTTAAATAACAAAAATGTCTGAAACTTCTTTGGTTCATCTTCCATTAGAAAATCTGCAATCATTTAAACAAATATATAAATTCGAAAACCAAACAAATGCTAATTCACTTGTTTCTATATTTATTCACACAACTTCCAGCTAGAATATTTTTTATGGGGGCACACAAGAGACATACCCTCATGTAGGCAGTAACGTAAAACCACGTAGCTAGTTATCTAATAGATGACCAAAAAATGTCAAGTATTTAGATTTATTAATGAAAAGACAACACAATATAAATTGCTCATCTATTGGTTAAATAACATCAATAAACATAGACAATTTTAAGAACAATAAGCAATCTACATATGCTTCATTGGTTAACATTCATTGTAAAGTCATAACCATTTTTTAACAGAACTACCTAATTGATTGGATTACATTCAATGGAAAAGTAAATTGCTATAAAAAATGTCAGGATCCACAATCAAAATCAAAAAGGAAAAAAAGTAAATCCAGTGTCTAATGTAGAAAACCAAAAAAAAATCAACAAACAAAACCAAAAAAAAAAAAAAAAAAAAACAAAAATCCAGTAATTTAGCAAGAAGAAAATAAGAGTGCATGTTATTTTATAGAAAATCTGAAACTAAAGTATGGCATTGTACTTTTGCAATGGTCACATTAAGGCATCCTACTTTGATCTTAGGGAATGGAGAGGTTTATAGTTGCTTTTCTCGGAATTTGGACAATTTTACAATTCTCTTCATTTTCTGTCCCATTACTTACTTCATCAGTAAATTTTTTTGATCATAATCGATTTTACCTTGGAAAAAAACAACAAGATATAATAGTGAAAAATGAGTCTGTGCAGCAATAACACCAAGCTCAATGGAAACCATGAGATCGAACTCCCTCTTGAAGACCCATGTGCTGCTATGAAGACCAACCTGCCTGCCAACCAGTAATAATCAAATTCGTAAGAAATCTCGCCTTAATGCAATTATACTAAGATTCATGGGATAAAACTTAAATTGCTCTTAAAACACTTTCAATAAAACAATGATGCCCATAAAATGAATGATAAAATATTCCTTATTCTTCTTTTCTTGCACTAAAATATTTAGAAACAAACCACAGATCTAAGAAACACTATTCAAGAATAACATATTAAATATTATAATCCAGAAAAAAAAAGGAAGTTTCATAGTAAAACATACCGAGCCTGTAATCTCAGAGTTGATGCTAGATCTCGGTTGGGGTTTGGCAGAGCCAATCAGTTTTTCTTTACATCAGACCTCATCAGAACCATCATCTCTTATATATAGTTCAATAGACATTTTCCCATGTTCCTTTCCAAATTCTCTTTCATAACCACTCATTTCACTTTCTGATTTGTCATAACCACCATCGTCTTCGTCCCCATCTTCTGCAATGCTCGACTGAATGAGAACTCTAGTTTGTAATCAACTAAGATATTGATTCCCGGCTCCAGCTCCATTTCCAACAACAAAATTAGGGCTAAAATGAATGGGTATGGAATTGTAATCATATAAATAAAGAGATTGATAAATAATTTTGGAAACGATTACCTTCAAATTAGGAGCTGATTTATCGCATAGAAGTTAGGAAACTCTCTATTGTTTCCAATGCCAGAGCGAGAATGAAGGCGGATGAGGTATTAAGAGGTAGAAAGGGCATTTTCGGAACTTCACATAGAAACTTTGAGCGGAAAAATTCGCTGGGAGGAGCCTCAGCAATTGTCACATGGCAATTAGGCAATTAGGTACTCATTTATATATATATATATATATATATATATATATATATATATATATATAGGGCCGACCCTAGAGGGTGGGCAAGCTGGGCGACCGCCCCGAGCCTCATGAAATCTCGGAGGCCCTCAAGTTACGATTAGTTTGTATATTTATATATATAATTTTTTATAATATAAAAGATAATACGCAACAAAGAACAAAATATGGATCTAGATGAGATGGTTGAACCTTGGCGCTTCAATTGTTTGAAGCAATATAGGCCCTGTGTTTGAATCTTACAACTTTCCTTCTTGAATATTTTTTTAATTGTCTAATAGGTTTATTTTTTTTATCTTTGTCTGATAGGTTTCTAAAGTGACTTTTCAGTTTTCAAAAAAAACTTTTTTACCATCCAATAAATCAAACAGGCTTCTCGGTTCCCAAAAGCGAACTTTTGATTTTAGGGCTTTTTTTTCCACTCAAAAAATTGATTATGATTCAAACTTGTTTTAGCAAATACTCATATTCTCCATCGTCTAAGCATTTATACTCCATCGATCAAGCTTCATTCCCCCTTCTTCAGAAATTGATAGTATACAAATCAAGAAATTAGATTCGTCTCTCGAATCTGATTTCACATAGAGACAAGGGCGCAAGAGTAAGACTTCAAATCTTATTTCGCTGAACCTGAAGATTTTAATAGCCTACAGTGGCTCCAGGTTTGCTGTTGGTCTAAAATAAGTCTATGAGAGACGGATCTCAGGATGAAGATATTCAAGTTTTTTTGTCAATCAGAAATTAAACTGATTTTGTGATGGATCGTGTTCATATCATGTTTACATTTTTTTTTTAATGAAATACTTTTAGTTTAAAATATTTTAGTTGTATATATAATTTTACTCAACTAGTCTTAGATGACAAATAATACTTAATAAAATATGTAAGTAAATTCAATTTTGAATTTTTTGTGCACAAGTGAAAAAGCATGTCCGGTTCACAAACCTTGATCTTCAAAAATCAAAATGGTTATTCTGGACGAAAATACCCCTACAAGTGAATCCCCTGTCAGCGGAAGATGCTCAAACTTTTCGAAGTTTTGGGTAGCTCCTTTTGATGGATAACCAATACTTAATTGGCTGCTATTTTTGGTGTTGCATCCAAACTATGTTGTTATTCTTGGTGAAAGTTGTAAACATGGTTGCTTATATTCTTGGGGTGGGTGTGTGTGCGCGCACACATGTGAGTGCGTATGTTAATCAACAACTCAATCAATGATTTTAAATCAATTAACGTTAGTTTATTGGTAGAAAAACATTTAAACTATGAAAAATATTAGGAAGTTTTTAATAGTTAAAAAGTTAGTAGATGAACTATTTTAATAGGATTTTCATAATATAATGTGTAAGTATATACAGTATATGAAAGCAATACTATAAGAGCATGCGGTATGGGCCTCAACGAGAAGCAACGGTGCTGACGTGGCACGCCTCAACGACGTCGTGACGGGGGGAACACCGCCCCCCTAGCTCGTTGCATCTCGTCGGTTGAATCTCATGGCCACGGAAACGAATTGAAACGGGAAAAAAAGAACCGTTGCTTATGACCATTAAGGAAAAAAAATAAAAAATAAAACATATTTATTTTCAAAAAGTTGGTGTTGCATCTTGTTGCCCATTTCCCCTCTTGGTATTATAACACCACTTGCTTATGTGGCATGTGAGGTGGCACAACTTGGTGTTGCACCTTGTTGCCCACACCCAATGCTCTAAGCTTTGATTAACTGGTGATCTGAAGGGCCTCTATTTTATTTTTGCGTCGGGCCTCAGATATGCTTGGACCGGCCCTATATATATATATATATATATATATATATATATATATATATATATATATATATATATCATAAACAAATAAATAAAAATCGGAAGTTAAAATTTTCTTTGGTTTATCCGGATAACCAAACTGGTTAAACAAAATATTACCTGTTACTTTAGAAAGGTTTAAAAAGACAATTGAACCGAACCAAATAAATTGAACCGATTAAACAAAACTCCAAATAACCCCCTACCAATGTTTTAAAACCTGGGTCGACCCGGCCGGTTCAACCGGTTGGACCGTGCTCCGGGATAGAAGGCGGGTCAATTGTGAATGTTTTTTGTAAAAATACGGACCGGATTGAACCGGCCGGGTTTCCTCTAAACCGCGGTTCGACCGCTTATGTTGAACCGGTTCAAACCGGATTGACCCGTTTTAATAGGGTTTGGATAGTTGGCTACAAGTAGCAAACGTCAAAAGAACGAGCCGTTTGTGGTTTCTTCAATGTTTCTCAATGTTTAAACTTTGTGGACATCAAATTATTGGTTTTATATGTTTATGCAGGAAAGTAAAAATATATAATAAAAAAAAAATACCATAAACCGGGTTGACCCGGCGGTTCAACCGGTTGAACTGTGAACCGGTCATCACACCGGGTCAACTAAAAACCCGGGTTTTAAAACATTGCCCCCTACTCATAAAGTGCTACGCTAGCTATATCAATGTTTGAGTGATGCTATTGCTATAGGAAAACTCCACTAGTGTTATATTACCACTCAAAATACCACAAACGCACGCATGAAACAGACTAGCATTGGCATCCAATTCTGTTTAAATCACTCCAAATTAACATGAAATGATACCCAACATATAATATTAGTTAAGATAATGTTATATATGAAAACATCACATATGTTTAAGTATGTAACAGATTTAATTTGCAAGGCTCGCGTCCGAAGCATGGCAGGCTTATCAATGGGTGTAAAATGTCTAGCTACAAATAAGAAATAATATATTGGGTCGATCAAATGGGATCGATAAATATAGCATTCATAATTATATGTTTAAATACGTCTGCAACAAATAGTACGTATAACACGAAAATAGTAATTAAAACAAATAACCCAACCAAACCAGAGACAATTGTTAGCACCAGTTAAGATTGAAGTACATGTAGACATCAGGAGTGGACCCGTCTAGAAAGCTTCTATGGGAATTTGTTAGCGTTTCCCATTTTTTATCAAGAGCCTGTCTTAATTGAACATGTTTTAGGGAACGAGGCCAATACACAATTCCAGTAGTGGTGGTGGTTGTGATGGTCTTCTTTTCCAAGACCTCTCTCAGCATGAGTCTGCAAAAGTGATTGTTGTGTTTGAAACGAACATCTGGCTTTGCGTATACGCGCTTGGGATGGCAAATCTCAAAGAATGCATCAAAAAACGGGGATCGTTCCCACATGCATTCATCCTCAGTCGTTTGAAACCTTAGTTCTTGCACGTTCGTTGCAGGAGGAAGCAGGAGCCTTGTTCTTAGATCATCGATATCGATGTCCATGTCAACAAGTGGCTGACTTAAGTGTATATGAAGGTCACACTTGCGTGATAATCTAAGTGCTTCCCTCATATTAAGAAAAAAAGATACATCAACAGGATGTTTAAGTCTGAGTGAAACACTGAGTTGTTTGAGAGACGAGATGGGAAACAAGAGACTAGGCAATGTGTTGCAACTGAAGTCGAAAATTAATAATTTTGGAGCATGTACTTGTATGTCGATAAGGGTGTCTGGGAACGAATACAAGAACAATCTCTTGATGGAAGAAGATGAGAAATGAAAGGTCGTCAACTTCCAATATGTCAACCCAAATGTCAAACTCACAAGAAAAGGAAATCCAGATTTGATCATGTCCAGACACGTGTTGTCAATTATCACATCAACTAACTTTAATTGTCTAACCCTACGCACTGATATTGAATGGGAGTTGAATGGGTCAATTACAAGAGGAATATGCGATTGAAAAACATATTGTCGATAGTAGCTAAATACACCAAGTTTTGGGACATCACTGATTTCCAAAGTAGTAGAGTTTTCATATAGACTACAGAAAGATATGTTTAATTCATAAAGACGAGGAAGGTTTTTAATCTTGATGGTTTTGAACCCCTCACATGAATGTAAAAGCTCTATCGTCTCAAGCAAGCAACAAGATGACAATATGTGATGAAGTGCCTCTTCACTTATGGTCACGCCTTCCAAGTGCAATTCGCGTAGGGATGACACGCATTTGATCACAGGATTCGTCATTGTCATCCAAACGGAATTGGGATGGATCCTCGGTGCTGAAACTCTTATTGTAGTTAGATTCTCACTTGCGAATATCTCATCTGGTAATGTAAATGAGGCACCCCAAAGGAAGAGTAAGAGGGAAATCTCTTTGAGACAAGTTTTGGTTGCAATAGGCGCGATCAATTTTTCAACATGAGAAGCTGAATCCTGGTTCTCAATGTCGATGTTAAGGTAAAACCTTTCGAATGGTGTGTTGTCATGGAGATACCTTATCAGAGTGCGCTCCATGTCCACCAACTTCATGCTCTTTTTTCTTCCAACTTTGAACCTGAGGTCAGGGAAGGTAGACCAAGCGTGTAGCCAAGACTTGGACAACATGCTTGTTTGGGCCGCTTCTTTTACTGTCAACCAGGATTGTATATTTTGCATCAACTCTACAACATCTTCTACTTCTCGTCTCATCCCTTCAAACCAATAATAAACACATCGAATGTCAAATTTACACCTTTGAGCTCCAAACAGAAATCAGAAGTTTGAAAATTAGAAAAAAGAAACAAAATCATCTATAAAATTCAGAAATTTTGAATTAATCAAAATCAGAAAAAACAGATTAACAATTTTTTTTTGAAAAGAGTGTACCTGTAACCTGCTTAGTTGCTCTCTTAGAGTCAGTCTTGGCTGATTATATAACTCTTGAACAGCCCAAAAGAAATGAGAAATCTGAAGTTTACAAAATTGTTAAACAGAGAAATCGAATTAAGCAATGATTCATACAATATCGAATCAGAAAATTCTATTTCAATCATGAACAATAATTCATAACAAGTTCGATTTTGCAGAATCTTAATGAAAAAAACGAAATTAGAAAATTCTATTTCTATTTCAATGAATAAATGTCCATAAATAGATTTTGCAGTTGCGGATTCTTAACAGAACGAGTTCACAGTCCACAAATTCAGAAATTAGAGACTTACACAGATAAAAACTACCGATTATGAAGGAGTACTGTACGCTACTTCAAACTTCAGACAAAAACGATTCAAAAAGATTGAAAGATATCCAATTGGTGATGCAGTTAATCTCAGTCTCAAGTCTTAACTATCAAAAGAAATCCACTTTCCACTAATCTCGATTGTTGCTAATGTTTTTTCGGATAAAGGAAATCGGAAATTGGAAGAGAAAGAATGAGTACAGAGTATTGTGTATTTGGGCGGCGAATTCAGAAAATCAGAAAAGAGGAGAATAGAAGAACCGATTAACTGGAACTAGAAATAGAACAATGATAACTAACCGTTAGGGCTTTGGCATCGGGAGAGATGGACGATGATGTCGTCTGGATTTTCCATGGAAGCGATTCAAGCTAAGCCGAAGATTGAAGAGATTAAATTGGCTTGGAAATCGAACGCAATAGGTCAGTAGGCACGCCGCACGCTTAATTGCTCCCACTTGGGTTGGCGCCTGATAAATGAAAACATTGGGCCAAAACTAGTCCATTGTCCATAAGGCTAAAACACTGATATAACCCAATAATATGTATAAATATGAGGTCGTTTGTAGAGGTGCACAAAAACGGATCAGTCCTTTTTCAGTCCCGTCCTTTTTTGGATCGGTCTTTTTTTGATTGGTTTCGCTATTAACTAGTCCGATACCGGTCTTTTTTCGGTTCGGTTTCGAATTTTTTTTGGTTCGGTTTTGGATATACCGTACAATTTCTTTTGTTGACGTAGATGTGCAAAATTATTCCAAACAGGCGCCTTACGATTTTCCTTGCTAATTTCATCAAATGGTTGGTTCGGATCAAAACCAGAGCGACCAACGGGACGATAACTACTTTCTTCGGCACCCGACATTATCCGATTGTGGAAACTTCAAGCTTTGTAGTGTAAATTTAGAGACATTTTGAGAAAGAGATAGAATTTGAGGTGAGAAAATAGATGGATATTCTGAGTATTTATAGGGTAAAAAAAATCAGTAAAACACAATTATAGCCGTTACTCATATTGATTATATCCGTTGGTGTAATTCTAACCGTTGTAGTGTACATGTTTTTGCAAAAAACAAATCAGCCAAAACTAAGTAATAGCATTTATACTTTGTAGCCGTTGAGTAATGTTTTATTACTTAGTTATTACTATTAGTTATTAAAGTAAAAAAAAATGCAAAGGAAGGGAGCTTGTGCTACAAAAGAAGAGTAAGGTGGAGCATTAAGGAAAGGAAGGAAATTTTAAACGCATGAAAAAATTGAATCAAAACCATCATTGGAGGCCCGATACTTAATTGGGCTACCAAAAATATTTGGTTTTTCATTTTCTGGAGCCTAGGACCGGTTGCACCGGTTTGGATCGGCAACTGTCCAAAAAATGGACTAGTTTATTTTTCTACCGGTTCAACTTTGGACTGGTTTAGGACCCGTCCGGACTGCCACATATATCAATTTTAAGGACCGACTTAGGCTTTCTGTCAAAAGGACCCATTGATCTGAGACCTGTTCAGGATATGTATTTTTTTTGGACTGGTTCTTGTGTCCATCTCTAGTCCTTTGGCATTTGGGGGTCCGGGGCGGTTGCCCAGCTTGTCTAGGCCCATGGGCCAACTCTATGCTAATCAAACAAAAAACAAGAGATTTAGGTAAAGGAGGAGTGCCAACAGGTTTAGGGGTTTCGTCTTATATGTACAACTTGAAATCATGTTTGGCTGCACAGCTACTTAAATATGGTAAAAATTCAACAAAAACTCTTAGCCAGCCAAAGCCATTCAAAATATAGCTAAAGGCAAACCAGTAAAACACATTAGTTCAGGCGATATGAATGATGTTGACTGAACTATGAATTAATGCCCAGAGTCATTCCTCATATCTCCCAACCAGATAGCTTTAACGCCTCGTTCCCAAGTTTAACAAAAGAAAAGAAGAGAAGAGAAAAGAAAATCACGAGAGAAAAGAAAAGAAAGGAAAGGAAAACAAAATTTTCTTTCGTGTTCCCGGGTTGGAGAGAAGTGGAAGGAAAATGAATCATTTTGTTCTTTCCTTCCAAATCCTCCCAAATCGGAAGGAAACTTAGGAGGGAAAGTGATCCTCCCATTTCTCTCCACTTCCTTCCACTTCCCTCCTTTAATGAAACTCGGGCACACCAATTTTTTTATTTTCTTCTTATTTCCTATCATTTCCTTTCCTTTCTCTCGTTAAGTTGAACTCGGGAACGGGATGTAACTCTCTTCAAAACCACAAAAGTTTGAAAATTTACATTGTTAGCGCACACAAAGATTGATAGATAACTAGAATTCCAAACTTATAAAAAAAACCCAATCTTGAAATTTCGAGTTTTGTTGCTGTAGTTTACGCCTCAATTATCTCTATCTGGAGGCAGTATCTCGTTACAAGTCTAATGCAAAAAGTTTATCAGAAAACACAAAAAAACACACGGTAAAAATGAGGGGTTTGGTGATAATTAGGTGGAGTGGTCGATCATGGGTTCAATCATAATACATAATTACATATAATAACATTTATCGATTTGCTCAAGGCAGCATCTCATGAGAACCATGTTTAACATGTCGAAAGTCGAGACCCGAAAACGAGATTCCAAATTTTGACTTTTTTAATTCCTTATTTGATAGCCTCAAAACTCGTATCTAACATTGAAATTCTATAGACAACATCAAAAAACTTACATTGTGATTAAGTTCAATTTGAGAAGGGAGTCTATCAGTGTACATGATTACCAAAGTCACAAAATGGTTGAGATTGAGATAAACAACAGCCAGAAGCAATGAACAAGAAATTAGAGATTCAAACAAACAAAAAACTACCTACGCGCAGCGATGAACAGGAGAATTTCTTTAAACGACAAACAATGATTCTTTAGCAGCGGCTCCTTCTTTTAACTCACAGAAGGGGTACGCAAAAGTTAAAAAGCCTCTTAGAAATTACCCTTTTATATGCATAGATATATAATCGATATTAGGTAAATCGATATTACCTTCTAATTACCCTTTTATACGCTGGTATGGCTATATAATCGATATTTTTCTAATTACCTAATATCAATTACATAAAAAAAAATTGACCATTTTTTAACTTTTTTTTTTCTTTTTTATAATTTATTATTATTATTATTATGTTATGGTATTTTTTAACATAGATCTTAAGGACACAAATAAGAAAAATATTATTATAATTAAATATGAAATACATTAATTATAAGAATATTTCTTATTGAAAAAAATACGAAATATCTTAATTATGGAGAATATTAAATATAATTAATGTATTTCATATTTAATTATAATAATATTCTCCGAAATTAATGGTAGAATATATGTCCTTCGAGCACATATTAGAAAATTCAATCATTATTATACAACTAGTCGAATTTACGTGTGTTGTGCAGTGATAAAATAAGCATAACAATTCGCGACACGATACAAAATAAACGAGTTTGGGTTGACTTTCTCAACCTGCCAACCCGCCAATCTGTTTATTAAACATGTCATATTTGAGTTTGTCAAAACACATACGGGTTGACCCATCAACCCGTTCAAAATTTTAATAAAAAAAATTATATATTTTTTAAATGTACTAAGTATTATTCGTAGAAATGTAGGACTAATGTTTGTATTAATGTGACTATTACATTAGCATTTCAATTTATCTATATTTGTATTAATGTTTTAGTTTAAACATGTATCCATAAATGTTTTTAATTTTCATTTGCATCTAGAATTAGTTCATGTTTAATTATTTATTTTATTTATTCCAAACTCGTCAACCCGTGACCTATATATTTAAATGGGACATGTTCGAGTTGATGTATTTTGACCCGCCAACCCGAACACGACACGATCGCTAGGCCTAGATAAAACTATGTTGATTTAAATTATAGCAAATATATTACGTAAAATACAATAATATAATTAAATGTTGGTATGTGTGTTGTATTAAAAATAAATTAATAATTATTACACTAATTTATCAAAACACATTCTAATTATTTTATATAATGTGATAAAAATAGGTACATACTAAAACCACGATTTCAATAGCCATTCATGTAAATTACAAATAAAAATAAATTTATTTTTTTATTTATAGCGATTTTTAACTATCAATAATTAATCAATTTAAGAACACATTTTTTGTAACCAAATCAATTACATGTAATCTATTTGTAAGTTGTATGTGAATTTTGATATTTGGATTAAGTTTTTATATCAAAAATTTTATTATTTTTAAAATTTCAAGAAACTATCTTTTTCGAAAAAAAATTATTAATATAAAAATGGTTTTTGATAAACTTTTTTTTTGTTAATATGACATTTTGAAGTAAAAATTAACCATGTAATCATTTTAATTAATATTAAATGTCAATGAATCAATTAATTATCAAAAATCTTTTGAATTGTAATATAAGGTGAAGAAAAGTCATGAAAATTTCAAATAACTATAAGGTTTAAAGAATAAAAATGCATATTTTTAAAATATATATAATTTTGGTTTAGATTTTCTATTTAAACTTTTTTTATTTTATTTAATTAAAAACCTACATCTTTCGATAAATTGTATTTGTATATAATTTTTTTTTTAAATTTAGATTCTCAATTTAAGTTCTCTAGTTAAAGATAAACCCATCTAATATTTATAATTATCTCATTTCAAAGAATCAATTAATCATCACTAGTAAAAAAATTTGTCTCTTTCTATAGTTAGATATATAGATTTCGATTAAGATATATAGAAATTTTGTAATTAGTAAAAACACTATTTTTTTGTATAATTAGATATATATAAAATTTACCATTTAATTATAACCATTTTATTGTAAAATTATATATTAAATGTAGTTTAAAATTACCAATAAATATTAAATGTAGCTTATATGGTATACATTTTTTCAAGTTTTAAAATTATAAATATATATTAAATGTAGTTTATAGGGTATAACTTTTTTTCAAGTTTGATTCTTAGAAAAATCATTATATAAAATACAAATAAAAAATAGTAACTATAACCATAATTTTTTTTGTAACGTCAAACGTGCCATCAAATATAATTTTTCTTAAAAATACTTATGCTAGACATTATTTTTTATAATTTTGCTTCAGTGAATCTGTATCACAAATATTTATTCGCAAAACACTTTTAATATTATGTTTTTTTATTAATTTTCATATGGACCATAAAATACTATCGAAAAATAATATATTAATATATAAAATTTACAATATAATCAATTAGAAGTTGAAATCCATTATCAGTTAAAGTAAAATACAATCAAATATTTTGATACACGAAAACTACATTAGTACAACGAAGTTTAATTTTTGATAATATCAAAATATCACACACACACACACACACACACACACATATATATATATATATATATATATATATATATATATATATATATATATATATAGTATCAAATTAGTATATAGCTTAGTTGTAACACCCGTGTTCCTAACTGGTTTAGTTTTATATTTCCAGGGGCTAAAGATGGAGTTTTTGGGAAAAACTCTATGCCACGGCATGGAGCAAGGATGTCCACGGCATGGCATCGAGTAAAGACCACACATATTTTATTGGACCGTCACGGCGTGGCCACGGGTTGCCACAACGTGACAGTTGTTATGACCCAAGCCCATGATTCTTTTAGGGTTCCCTTCGTATATAAACCCATCTAAGTCATTTCTAGGGTTCATTACCAGCCTCCAACACCATTTTACCCCAGAGAAACCTTAGCCCGAATTCCCTTGGTGATTTGTGGCCTTTTGGAGCATTTGATAGCTTGGAGAAGAAGAGAAGAAGGAGAAAAAGGTGCTCTATTGGTGGATCTTGCAAGGAAACAACATCGTCAACATCTCACATTGCTTCTGGACCTTTGTAAGTGTCAAAGGCTCAAACTTTATGGTTTGAAGTGGCTAGATCTAAGATATTGTCCCATGTTCTTCATGTTTAAGAAAGTTTGAGTGGAAGGAACACATAAATTTGGCAACTTTATGACTCTCCTGAGTCCCGTAAACGACATATATTGTAGATCTAGACTTTGGTTAGGGTTCTTGACCTTGCATGAGGTTTTGGTTATTTTTAGCTCATTTAACCAAAATGGATTCTAGACATGTATTGGACATGCATGTATATAAAGCTTCCACCTTTATAATAGATCTGGTATTAGAAACCCTTCTATAGTGGTTGGGTTAAGGACTTTTGCAGATTAAGGGCTTAATGGTTAAGATACAGGGGTTTTTTATGTGCAAGGTTTGCTTTTTAGGGACCCATTTGTGTGCATAAATCAAAGGGTATTTTTTCATTTAACAAAACATAATAGAATATGTTAATAGAGTTAGTCATAGGGGCCTTTTATGTGTAAGGTTTGCTCTTTAGGGAGCATCTCAGGGAAAAACTGTAAAGCTAAAGGACCATTCGTGTAATTTACTCGATCATTTTAAATTTTACTAACAAATGAGCTTGCTTATATAGTTTTCTATCTGCCAAAATAGTATATCTCCTCTTCATCATTCAGTATGAAATCATGCACCAAAAAGTATAGCTTGATGTAACATCCGAATCTTTGAGGTAAAATTTTTAAAGTAAATTATGAATTTTGGTTGGCCACGACGTGGTGGAGGTATCACCACGATGTGGAATGGCCCGCTTGTATCGCATATCTCAATTGGCCGCCACGACATGGCGACTTTTTTTAGCAAACCCTAAATTTTGGGCTTAAAGCCCTATTTAAGGGAAGTGATGGCTAGGGTTTCCTCTACCTTCAGCCTCCATTACCTCCAAGAGCCTTGAAGAAATCATAATCCTCTTTTTCCCATATTTGAGCTTACCTTTGGTTTATTGATACTCTTCGAAGGAAGAAGAAAGAGATTTGGTGCAAGAATCAAGCAAGAAAACGCATTTCCACCTTTGAGATCACCTTTTGGACCCTTTGTAAGGTTTCAAGATTTAATCTTTTTAGTTCCTTCTTAGTAGATCTAAGGTTTTTTTTTGCATGTTTGGGTCCTTTGATGAGTTTTGATTGGTCTAATAAGATCAAGTTTGCAACTTTATGGCTCACCTAGGTCCCTTGAGCCTTATATATTTCAGATCTAGGATTTGGTTGAGATTTGTGGATCTTGATTGGGATTTTAGGTCATTTCTCTTACTTATGACCTAGTTAAGTGAAGGACATGCATGGGTCATGCATGTCCACAAAGTTGACATTTTTATGAACCACTAGGGTCCCTAGAAGCCACGTGGAAAGTTTAAGCCAAGGGCTTAACAGATTAAGATCTTATGAAAATAAGTTGTCTTCGGCCGGTACCCACAACATGGCCACTTGGGTACCACGACATGGTAGAGCCAGGTTTCCGCGACTGTCTGTCTGGAGTGAGCCACAACATGGTGGCATGTCTGCCACAACATGGAGATCAGATTATTCGCGCCTGAGTGTTCGTAACTGAAGTTTTGGATCGAATCTGGGTTTGTTAGCCACGACGTGGCCATGAGCTGGCCATGACGTGGAAGCCAACTGATAATGATTTTGAGCGTTGATTTTTGATCCTGTTGACTTTTGGTCAAATTGCTAACTTTAGAGTGTAGACCAAGGTGTAACTTTGTATGATTCGATAGATGGGTTGTAGCACATGTTTCGTGACTTTGAGATGTGGTTTGTCTGACTTTGTGAGAGAGGTGAGTCTTCACACTATATTATGTAGGATGCTAGTTG